GATAATGGATGTATCGATTATGTTCTTCAACACCGTCATATTGAAATAATAAATAAATATTATCTATATTAATTTTAGCAAATCAAGCTTTATACTAATTTAAAAGAAATAAGATTTTTTTGCAAATAAAATATTAAATCAATTTTTATCTTGAAACTATTTTACATATCATCAACAAAGAATATACTGATCTTTTTATTTTCAATTTATATTAAAAAATAATAATAATAGTCTAGAATAATTTTATATATATATATAACTATATTTTCTAGATGTAATTATGTTTTCAAGTAAAACAATATATTTATTAAATATTTCAATTAGAAAATTTTCTAATTATTCATTAATTCGATTTGCATCATGGAATGCGAATAATAAGTAAGAATAAATATTATATAATTATTAGATCAAAACTTGTTCTATTTTTTTAGCCGTAGCATAAAATATTAATGAACATTTCTTATTAAAATATCTCTCATGAATTTCCTATTTTGATAATATATAGTTTTACTCTCGATAGAGTATAGGATTAGCATAAGAAATACTGGAGTCATTTCGCTGATAATTTATATTCAGTACTGTCATGGGAATCTTTTTCGAAAAAAATAAAGTAGTTTAAAGTTGGTTAAATATATATAGTAAAACCTCTCTATTGTGTGTATACCGACCGTTACAAAAATATTCACCACACGGAAGTGCTCAGCTTAGAGATTTAAAGTATGATTTGCTGTGAAATGAAGAAGTACTTTCAGGATATTTGCGTCTTAGATAAATGTTTATGGGTTTATTCTTTTGTTCATCTATTTTCGCATACATGATATAAATTAAGAGATTTCATGAAAAAAATGATCTAAAAGGAATGTTGAAGAATAGAAGTAAACATTTGGATGTTCCAAAAACCATGATAACAGAGTTGTTGAGCTTTTCATACACACTAATTCCTGCCTGCTAGTACTAAGGTTTGCACACACTACTTTGTAAATATGTGCCGAACAACGTAGTAACTTAGCTATAGCGTTTTTCGTTGATATACGATCAAAGATCGTATATGAATAATTTCTCGTTTTAACAGATGAAGTACTTCCTTATTGAATTTCTGAAAATGGATGATGAAGCAATGTGTCCTAAAATAGATAGAATAAAGCAATCTTTCTGCGATTAGCAACAGCAGCTATATCGTTTTTCACATTTTAATGCTTGAGGAATAGCACTAATAGCTTTTTCAATTATAATACAAGATTTTGTGCTTTTGCTTTTGAATTAGATTCGATATCAATTAACAAGTGACGTAGACTAAATGTAACATTATCACGTTCTTTGTTTTGGGTCATTCTGACATACTTTCATAACGTCACTCGATAGAGAATTTTGTGCTCTCCGCTTTTATGATCTTTTCAAAGTTTCTGATGCTATAGTTCATGAGTATAAAGTCTACTGATATTTTTCTACGGATGTTTTCTAAAGCGTGACTTAATATATGACATAGTCATTTTCATGTTATTTGATGTGAAATTAAAATCTGAACAAATAATCATTACTATTAAATTGAAGAATACAAGTGAAATAGAGTGAATCGAAATGAAAAAGAACAATTCCGTAATGTTTTTGGATAAATTTCTTTGTTGCAACTTTTATTTTATAATTATTTTTGCAAATAGTTCTTCCGAAACTTTGAACCATATATCAAAAGATGCAGAATTTGATGAAAGGCTTGTCATTTGAGAAAACCATTGCTAAAAAAATTTGCGTTATTTTTTCTTTTCGTTTTTTTTTAATCATCGTAGTTGAATGATTCATTTTGCTTCAACAAAGAAAAGCTTACTTGAAAAAACAAAGGTAACAGTTTTGTAGAACGAAAAATTCTTCATCGAATAACAATACAATGACTCACTGAAATTGTATTTGAGTGTCTAGCAAAAAAAAGAAACAGAAAACGATATTATCTCGTTTAATCTGTGCCACCTATTGTTTTTGAATTTCATTTAATAATTAATGTAGTATACTTAGTTATAGTAGACATGAGGCAGATTATAGATTATTTAACAAAGTCAACAAAACATTGTATGAGAGACATTTCCAGCAAAAATCGATTCGTCGGATACGAAACTGTTCATAATTAGAAGATATTTACTAGTAAAGATTTTACTGTAAGACAAAGATTGATTCTGTATATTGAATATCAGACAAGAAGAAAGTTTTTTGCATTTTTTTCCGATTTTTTACATAAATTATATCTGTATAAATATTTCTAAAACTTCAGTTTTTCTTTGGTTTCATAAATTTTCTTCATAAATAAGAAAATTATTTCTACTGTCGACAAAAATTCTCTATATTAAATAGGACAACAATCATTTATCTTTTTTGATTTATTATAGACTCCACGAAGTCGGTCTGTTTACAGCTGTAAAACAAGAAGGCAATTATGAAACAGGTCAGGTACGTTATACAAATGATGAATGACTAGATGTCAGATATATATATATATATATTAGAATTTGAAAGAGCACGTCTATGTGTTCATTAACGAACACTTATTATGATTTACAATTCGTTCTGTACAACAAATAACACAACTAATTTTCGATGTATACAATAGAACAAAAAAAAGCCTAAATTGAAATCATTTTTGTGCATGTCTGTGGTACTATCACAGAATTCTAATCTACATTGTGAAAATAAAAGAAACAAACAAACAATAATAGACACTATGAAAATGAACAACATAAAGTTCGTTTATGTGATTGATCATTTAATTGTACAAGATTACTTAGTGTTTTTGATGGACTTTCTCCATTTGATATTGTTGAATCAACTTGTTGTAGAAGTGCTTGTCCAATTGCTTTAAAACAAAATTCAACATTTAAACCAGTTTTAGCTGACGTTTCAATATGTGTAACGTCATATTCACGTGCTAATTTTTCACCCATTTCACGTGTGACAACACGTTCCGTTGTTTTATCAACTTTATTAGCTATTAATATAACAATCACGTCGGAATGAGCATATTCATGTATGTCACTTAACCAAACACGAACATTATTAAAACTAGTTATAGATGTTACGTCATAGAGTAATAATAAAGCATTTGCATCACGATAATAAGAATGAGTTACTGAACGAAATCGTTCTTGACCGGCCTTTAAAAAACAAAGAGAGAAAAAAGAAAGATTAATAAGTTTTATTATTGACATGACAGTCATATTTTCTATTCATAGTAAAATAAATTAAGTCATTATACTTGAAAACTTAACAGTGTGTAATGCGTAAAACAAAAATTGCGTTTCTTTTTCAAAACTCATTATACATCTGTTGGACTCATTTTGAAAGTGAATTCGCTATTTTCACCTCTTTTATTCTCTATACACTTTTTAAATATTGATTGTTGAAAAAGAAATATTGTATTTTACCATCATATGAAACCAGTCTATATTCTCTGGATATATTTCAACGTTGTTAGTCAATATTTACTAATGCAAACAGTAACCTTATACATATCTATGAATTCTAATCGTTTATTTAGATTCAATGAATATTCTCCTGATTCTTATCATATATACAATTTCTATTCCTTCAATATATTTGAAGTAGTACTTAGATAGAAATCATGCAATAGTAGTTATTCTTTCTAAAAAAAAGAAAAAGAAAGTCAATATTTAGTAAATGTCTGAGAGTTATTTTCTTTTTGACATAATAAATATCATGATAAATAATCTTTTAACCTGTTTATTTTTATAAATGCTACTCAGAAACTTTTTTTCGAGAATATTTTTTCTTGGATTTTCTTTCTTCAAAAAGGCCCGTTATAAAAGCAAAAAAAAACATCTTTTTTTTCATTTCCGTTCGTAATGCAAACGAAGAGAAAATAATAAGAAGTCTATGATTTAAACAGTTTTTTTCTTTCCTCATAAGTAACAAACATGAAATAAGCTAATAAAAATCTTGTTTTACATACGGTATCATAAATCTGTAATTTAACTTGTTTATCATTAATTAAAATAGTTTTATTACGGAAATCAATGCCAACTGTTGCAATAAAACTTCCCGATAAAAATGTATCGTCTTTAAAACGTACTAATAAACATGTTTTACCAACACCACTATCGCCAAGTAACATGACCTGAAAAGAAATAAATACAATTAACTTTTATTAGTTTTTATTGTGAAATTTAATCGTATTTTTGTTTTTCTTTCTATAGTTAAGAATCCGATTTATGTAGAAATTCTACTTACTTTAAATGTACTTTGCTGAGTATTATTTTGATTGTTGTTCGCTGCTGAAAGTGGACGGTTCATATCTGTATTTGGATTTGTTCTTTTATAAATCTAAAATTTTTAATATTATGCACTTATTTAATACGTGATGTGTAAGTCTATATTTATGATCAATTAAGCTTAAAAATCGACACGTGTTTGTGTTCCCATAGAGTACGGCATGGACGCAGTTAGCATTTAACAACCTCATTTGTATTCTTTTTCTCGTTCTCTTTTTCTTCTTAACATATATCTGTCAAGCAATCGTGACTAGCACATACGAATTGCAACCTATAGATGCCTATAAGCAGTAGTTTGTTAAAGTATTGCTTTCTCGACATAACATTCTATGTTATTAATTCTTCTCTTTTCCTCTTACATATACAAAAAAAAAAGAAAAAGAAGAAGAAGACGAAGACGAAGACGAAGAAAAGCGATAACAATGTCCATGAGCTAGATTCACATTTGATTAGGAAATGACAAATCGCGCGACAGATAATTCTTTTTTTTTTCTTCTCCTTTTTTTCTGTCATCATTGTATTGCGTGACTGTTCTTACAGTATCACAATTGTTTTCCTTATATACATTGTAACACGAACAAAACCAAAAAAACTCGAGAAGTTACTTCTTTTACTTATTCACACTCACTTACTCTTCCTTTTTTCATATAATATACGTGCTCGGATGAGCAAAATCAAGAGAGAGACGACGTAGCAAACGAACAACAGTAGACGAAGCGTGAAAACAACATGTATGCGTACGAGCATAAGAGTAGGGTAAAAAAGGAAAACGACGACGAAGAAGAAAAAAGAAAGCAAAAAAAAAAGGAGGAAATAATCGTTTTTCCAGATCTACTGTTCTTAGATGAAATAACTTTTTTTTTCTTTTGTTTCGCCTATTAAATTATTGTAAAACAATAATTAAAATGACGTCTTACCTCGATATATATATATATATAATAATTCTTGATGTTAGTTTTTAATAATCGTCTTTACTTCCATGCTATGTGTATTCACTAAACAATTGAGTGATTGAAGTTTATATTGCTGAAAGAAATAGATAGATTATGGAATGGCACAGCTCAATGGAATGTCGAGCAGATGAACAACACACCAAGAAGAGATGAAGACGAGTGTCGAACCAAATGAGAATAGAGAGCAAGCAGCGGACGAGAGGGATGAGAAATAAAAAAAACGGAGACTTCCTGTCGGCAAGCTCTGCTGATGGTATTTTCCTTCTCTTTTCTACCGCCACTATTACCGTTTCTGTTCTGCTGTAGCGAATGCATTCTGACAAATCGAATGATTCTTCCTCTCCCTCTCTTGTTTTTGTCCTAAATAACACTTTGCATGCACATATAGGGAAACTCATAGAGTAATTATCAAATTGACTCGTTTTCCCTAAATAGTTTTTTTTTTCTCAATTTCCAATGTACGTTGCACCGATAAGGCTAATTCAATTAATAATTTTAAAATATGTTAATCGATAATTTTCTCATCGGCTCACAAATAATTATAGAAAAAAAACAACAAAAAGCTTTTTAGAGTAATTTAATGCAGATAGTGAATAAAAAAAAAAGCCTCTTTTCTATTGCTATTCATGGATGCGATAGGACAATAATAATGATAATGATGAATAAAAAAATCTTATAATAGCAAACCAAGCGTTAAGTGTTATTATGAAAAGATGAATTCGTGTTAGCGTCCTGTGGGAACATATTATTTCCCGTCGTCTATTCTCACAGAAACGAGAATGAGAATTCTCATGAAGAAGATTTCGGAAACGAGAACAAAGAAATGGAAATAATATTAAATAGCGGCGTTCCGGAAAAATTTTATCTTATTTTTATCTGCATTATAATATGTTTATGTAATAACTTTATTTTATTTTTACATAATTAGCTAACTATACGTCCAATTAGATTATTTTTATATTTAATATGAACTCATTGTAGATTGTGCAAAAGTATAATCTCACGAGAAGTTTATGTATAATAATTATAGTTTCTTTCAAAAGTACATATAAAAGAAAAAATAAAAGGAATTCCGAAAGTCTTATGGGAATGGGAATCGGAAACGGAAATCGAGAAGAATCGTTCCCATAGGACATGAATTCGTGCGTGTTGTTTTATTTTTTTTTCCTATTCTCTATTGTTATTTAGTTGTTTCTTCATCGAGTCTTTGGATATCGAGGTGTGATTCTATTCCCTTGGCTTGCAAGAGTATTTGATCGATGTGATGGGCGTTCAAATACATTACCCCCAATAATACAATCAACAAAATCATCACAATCGAATATACATGAGATTCGTGCAAAAACAGTTACTTATTATCAAGCTTTAATTGATACAAGAGATATGCCTCATATTCGAGCTCAAACAGGTTCAATTCTTTTGTTCTTTTTTTTCTTCTATAATGCAAAAACTTAAATGAAGAATGTAAATGTTTTTAGAAGCTGTTACATTTTTGGGTAATCAAGAACGTGATCGAAATCTTTATGCTATACCAGGTCTTGATTATGTTGCACACGAAGATGTTATACCATATACGGTAATTTATTTTTCTTACTTTTTTTTTTCATCGATCAAAAGATTTGGCCGACTTTATACTATTAAAAATAGGAAATAATTCTATTACAAGAGTTTTTTGAATCGATTAAGATGAAAATGTATAATTAAAAGTAAAATGCGTACCACTTAATGTTTGAAGTAGTAGTTTATTATGATTTATCGACATTTATCATAGGATCCTTCCATAAAGAACGTCCAGATAAAATTGGCATTTTTTGACTTCTTCTCCCTCTCGTCTATTAAGTTTTATTTATCTTTTCTCTCCTCAGCGTTTAGTGTAAAAAGAAATAACTTTCTAAAAACAGCCTACTTATTCGAATATATTGATTCTGTTTTATTCAATGACAGTTCATTAAATAAATACATTTTGCAAAGTTTTTGTTTTTTTAAACACATTATACGTTAATGAGCAGAATATTTAAAAAAATGAAGTTAATTACAAATGACACTCAAAAATCTAACAATATTGATATTACTATTCGAGAAAACGATTGGCTGCGCATGCAACATATTCATTTTCAATTGAATCATTTCTTATTTTAAAATGCTGTCCAAAACAAACTAAACTTCAAAAATTTCTCAGAAAATTATGTGAAAAAGAAAGAAACATAATCATGGTAAATGTCTGCACTCGACATGTGCAACGTCAAGTTTTTTTTGATCCCGATAAATCTTTCGATCTCAGTTCGTTGCCGATAGTTTGTTTTCTTGCGTTTCTGAAGTCGGTAGTATCGAGTGTCCGTCTGTGCCGAGGTCAAATATCAGGCTGTGAAGGGTTGTAGGGTACACTGGGTGTTGGTAGCTCAGGGCTGCCCTCGGATGTGAAGAAAAGGTGCATAGTGTAGAAGTAGAGGTGAATGGATATGGTTCAGTGAGAATGGAGGTTGATATAATCTGTAGTGTAGATGGTTGATGTTACGGTTGTGTTGGCTATCATGAAGTAACACATATGATACTTGCATCTAACATCTTTGCTCGACTCTCCAGAGTCGCCTAGGCTCAAGTACAAATCAAAATTACTTATATTGAAATGAGAGATGCAAGGATTTCGAAGACATCTTGGACTATTTGCTTACCGTAGAAAAAAAACTTGCTGTTGGTGACTCAAATAAACAATCGTGTAGTGAGCAAGATAACTGTCTTAATCGACTATAATGTTTAGTTCTGGTTAGTTCAATTTTTTTCCTACAGTCTCGATCTCGCACATATCTAATCTAGACGTCCAGGAATGTTTGACTTTTCGTCATCTCTATTCAAATTTTGATATACTTCCCTCTTTTCCCTAACCGTAATTTCTGGATAATCCCATGCTAGAGTAAATAATTGATGGTTCGTTTCAAATGTCTTAGGTTTGAAAAATAGTTAATCATGAATAATTTTACGCTTTATTTACTCTTAATAGTATTGCCAAAGGTCTACACAGATTTTAAATGATAAATATGTTGTTGAAAGTCTATCTGTTTTTTATCAGATCAGTTGATATTATTAGTAAGCATGAGTGCCATTCATTATAGTATAAACGATACAATTATGGCATGGAAAAGTACTTATTTGGTATCTGAACAGACAACATATGTTTATCTGAAAATATAGCAATCTTCTGAGTTATAGTGTAAAATGTTTTCGACTATGAGTAATCTTCAAATTATTATTCTATAGAATATGTCATGACGATTTCTAAATAGACCTAACTTTCTTAAATTCAGAAGTTAATATATGAAATAACAAATTTTGCCAAATGAAATATTCAATTTACTTCGAGCTTCAATACTATTCTAACATTTAAAATTCTCATATATTATTATTTTTAACTGTAAACTAGATTACAAAAAATATTTTAGAGTACAGAACGAACACCAATTGAACATGAATTATTTGATAAATTTTTATTACATGATTCTGAAGCAAGTATGATAATATTGATTTAGAAATTTTCATGATTATAATTCATTATATATATATATATATATATTCTATTCAAGCTCCAAATTTTGTACCACGGGAATATTTAAAATCATGGCAAGAACGACATCATCATTGGCTTGAATTATCTGATGTAGCAAAAGATGTAACTCATCAAATACGAGTTACTGTTATTCCATTTTATATGTAAAAAGAAAAATATCTTATTTTTATTTTCTTTTTGCATTCATTTATATCAATGTCTATTGTTTTTATTTATTAGGGGATCTCGCTCAGCTCAAGGTGTAACTGTTCATTGGTGGCGTTATTCAATTCGTATTGAAAACTTAAATCCAGATGAACCAGTTACATTACGTGAGCGTCATTGGCGTATATTTAGTTTATCAGGTACATTAGAAACTGTACGTGGTAAAGGTGTTGTTGGACATGAACCAAGATTATCAAAAGAATATCCAGCATTTCAATATTCATCGCATATATCATTATCGGCACCCAGTGGTCATATGTGGGGGTAGGATATTTCTATTGAAATAATTAATTTGATTGTTTGTTTTTAAGTACATTTAAAATGGAAAAAGATGATGGAACATTTATTGAAGTTCGAATACCACCTTTTAATCTTGAATGTAAATCTGAACCAACTGATAACAAATCGTCGATATAGTTTTCTTTTTATATCTATGTGTGTTATTATTTTAAATATATGGAGAAAAGAAAAGGAAATTAGTGAAATGATGTCTTAATTTTTTTTTTGTTTTGTTTTTGAATGAAATCAATATATTATCTAAGCATAATTGTTTCAGATTTGATGTTATTTAAGTCTGTCTATCAATATAAGTTTCTATATCGTCAATTTCATACCAGCTCACCAAGACATATTCATCCTTTGATATGGGTTTTTCTTAAGCCGGCACTTAAAGGTGTGGCTTGGATAACTGGCAGGTGAAAAATAATATATGATATTGATTTGTATGAAAGAAAAAAAAGATATTATAAATTTTTTTTTTAAAGGTCAGCAAGAAAATGGTATCGACAATTACCACTAGAAAAACGATCGATTTTTATTCAACATCTTGATCGACATAAATATAAATATATTGGAATATTTGGAACAATAGGAGCTGCTCTTGCTGTATGATTTTATTTATGTATTTAAGTATTTTTTTTCAAACGTTCTTATGTATAGATTAATTATTATACTCATCTTGAAACATCATCCATAACTGGACGAAGACGTTTTATAATGATGAATGATGAACAATTAACAGTAATATGCGATTTGGAAAAAGAAAAGGTTCATTTTGTTTATTCGTATTTTTCACTGAGGAATCATTGTACTAGATTAAATCTTCTCTGTAAAGTTGTCTTCGTACTCTAGCTGAGAAAAATTTTGTGAATCTATTCTGTAGAACTTTTATCCTACTCGGAAGACTACAAAAGTGATATATAGCAAAATAGTAGCATACTAGGGATGTGCAAAATGAGGTGTTTTGTTTTCGTATCGTCTACTCTGACTGAAAGAAATTTTCTAACCCGTATCCTACCCTGCAGAATTTTATCTAAATTTCCTTTCCCGGATGAGCAATTTAAAACTCTAGGAGGGTCAATCTGATGTTCAGAGAGGCGCCGTCTGCTTGGTCCTCATGCTAACTAAAACATTGTTACCCTTTCCTTACTCTGTACATTTCTAAAACAAAAGATTAAAGAATAATATAATAGCGAAAAGGTAAATTTTACTTTCTTACTAAATACACATGTGATTTCGTATTTCAAATCCATTGAAAAATCTCCTACAGCGTTTTCTAAACTAAATATCTTCACTTTGTAAGTTTGTTAAAATTTATTTTTGAAATATTTAGATTGCAACAATGTTTTCTAATCAAATGTTACCTGAAAACAGTAAACAAACTCAACTTGTAGCTCGAGTAGCAAGACAAATAATTGGTGCTAACATGGATATAGGCAATATTAGAAACATAAAATGGAGTGTTCGAGTTGTTGTAAGTTTTTGTTTTTCATGAAAATTATAATTATTTTATAATAATTCGTTCTTTTTTTTTTGTATTTAACAAAAATAGGATACGGATATAAAAAATGGTAAGAACTTTTAATTTAAAAAAGTCTCTAATTAAGTATTCATGTTTTTCTTTCCTGAAAGCATTTGTCTTACCGGTATGTGAAATAATAAAGCAAAGAAAACTATATTTGCGTTGTTTATTTCTAGACTGGCGATATTTATGTAACTCGAGGAATACTTGAGACAATGCGAGTTTATGATCTTACCATTTTTTGATATACTTATTTTAATCAATCTAGGGCAAATGAAGATCAATTAGCAATTATTCTATCTCACGAACTTTCACATGCGCTTTTAAATCATTCTGTATGTTTAAAAATTTTACAAACATATTTTTATAAGAATATTTCTAGGCCGAAAGATTATCTTATCTACAACTAATCGATACTTTTGGTATGTATGTTCACTATATTTGAGATTTTTACCATTTAATTTTGAATTCAAAATTGCTAATAAATAATTTGAAATATTACAAGAATAAATTAAGGATCATGAAGTAAATCAATTTAAACTATTAGTATCATTGTTACAGACGCCATTCAAAATAGTATATTTTGTTATGGTTAGTTTGTAAAGAATTTTCAGTGTATGTTTTCCGTAAAATACAATTAAGACAAGAAAATTAGATACGCTAATAATTAATCTATTTAAAGACTCTGTCAGTATTGATTTCATCTCTGCTAAAAATATCTTATATGAAATGTAATGTATCTGTTAACAAGATCTTTTCTTCTTTAATTAAATATAAGACAACTATCTATTCATTGAGCGTTGTCATGTTTAGATACAATCAGTACCTCTTGACTTCTTACATACGATAAAAGTCTCACGACTGATTCATCGCTTTTGAATCGGAGCTCTTTGCATTATGTAGATTCAAAGAAGTTTTCAATATCTTGAAAAGACTTGGGACTCTTAGCTTATTGCTGTGTATTTACTTCATATTTACGATAGTGCTTAGATGAATGCCGTGATTTCTCTAGAAAAACTGATTTTCGAATTTTAATTTGAAACTTTGTACAAATTTTCCTAGGGTTTCTATGTGGAACTATATCATTCATTTTAAAACTATCGTCAAAGTGCAGTATTTCACGAGTGAACCTCTCCAGATGTTAAATTGCTTTTCAAATGAGACAATATTCATTTTATGACTGTTAGAGAATAGTAAAAAAATCTAGAGTGTTTTGACTTCCGAACCTTAATTCTTTAGATATTTGAAATTTCACTAGATTTTTCAAGAAAAATCTGTGGTACTCTTCAGATCACACGGAAAATCGACTTTCGACTTCAAACTTTATGCGAACAAAGTTCTTAATGAGACTAGTGGATTGTACAAGTTTCAGCTTTTCTAATATTTCTTTTCTGAAGATGAAGAAAATGTACTTTTACATAGGAGAAAATTTTGAATATCTCAAGATACAAAATACTAGAAAAGTTATAACTTGCTCAATGAACTAATATCATTGAGAACTTTGTTCATTCAAAGTTTGAAGTCAAAACTCAGAAATTGTTTCTCTATGTGACCTGGGAAGATCACAGCTTTTTGTTGAAAAAGTCAGTAAAGTTTCAATAACTCAAGTGTACTTGGAACCGATCGGATTATTTCTACAGCTCTTTTGAGAAATATTCTATTAATTCAATTCTACAAAGACACGTGCAATGTAAAAATCATGTAATTCTAGGAGCTTCCAATAGTCACAGCTCCTATTTTAGTCTGTGACGTTTCATGTGTGCTCAAAATTAAAAATTAACGAAGATTTTTTTTTTAAATGTTGCATCTAGTAACTTACAACAACTGATATTGAATAACATCTATACTATGCTTTGGCTGATCTCTTTACAATAGATAAGTTTGATCTATTCTTATTGGACATAATTATTTAACACAGCTCAAAAGCATTTCAATTCGTAAAAGGATACTATTATCGATAGAAAGACAGTACGATTTTTATATTAAACTTCCTATTTTAAGGTTTCTTTATATCTAAATATTTTCATAATTGCATGACGCTAGTAGTTGACAAAATCCTCACAAGAGAAGGGAATTTTTCTGAAATTTTATAATGAAAATATGAGCTGAAAATTACTAGCTAAAAGGTGTAATCAAAATTTCGAAGTGAAAAATCTTTAGTATAGACTGAAAATAAGTTCTAACATCAGACTAACTTTTCATTAACATAACAAATTCCTTCAGTATGATCTGAAACTTCCAGGCTCATATCTCTTGATCATTAAAACCATGGAAATCGTGAAAAACTAGCTAAAGAGGTGAACTTTAATTTCTCGTGAAATCATTATAAAAAACTGGTGAAAACTGACCGATCCGGTTCCAAGTGTGATCTCGAGAACGAAGACCAAAAAAATCAAACCATTCTGAACTTTTCTATTATTCATCAAATGAACATCATCTGGATAGAAAAGTGATTTAACATTTGAACATGTTCCCTCGTCAGCACCAATAGGCTAAGGATCCAAACTCTTTTCACGATAGTCATAGCTCATTTAGTTCTACGTAACACATATAAATCCGACTCAAAAGCGATTTATCAGTAGGAGAACTTTCCTCATAAAACAAGAAATCAAATCGTTTCATGTTTCATTTATAATCATTAAAAGATTTTCTATTTCAAATCCACATGAAAAATCTTTAGTCAATTAATTTTCTTTTTATAGCTATATTTGGAGCATTTGTTATCTGGGCTGTCTTTCCAACTGATTGGACTTCGTATGTTTAATAATAAATGTCAATTCATATGAATTTTTCTATTATATTTTAAAGATTTTGGGTAAATTATATATTTGAACATTTAATAACATTTACTTCACGTTTACCTTATTCTCGACTTTTGGAAGAAGAAGCTGATGAAATTGGTCTTATGCTAGCAGCAAAAGTACATTCAATATATATTCTGAAAAGAGAATTTCATTTTTAAATTCTAATTATTTTAGGCTTGTTTTGATGTTCGTGAATCTGTAACTTTTTGGAAAGCAGTTGATGTAGCTGAAGCTAATCAAGAAGTTTCAGAATTTCTTTCTACACATCCGGCAAATGCCAAACGTGCTGAAAATCTTAATGAAAAACTTCCTTGGGCACTTGATATACGTCGTCAATGTAAATGTGCTCCATTACCAGAAAATAAACCAGTTAGCACACTTAATCTACCTAAAAATTCAGACGAAAAAGTATCAATCTTTATTTCATGTCTATAAAAATTATATTTTGGATTCATGTAGGTCATGGAACCATTGACTAAACAAATGGGTGGTTTTCGTCATATTTCTGTGATTAAAACAATGAAAAAAGAATAATAAATATCTTGAATTAGTTATTTTTAGACAGTTTCTTTTTTTTTATTTTCTGCAACTTTTTTTTCATATATATTGGCCGGATGAATATGCCCGCCATCTATTATTTTGAAATAAATTCAATGATTCGTATAGAAAAAGATCAATCTTTTGTTTTGTTTTTTTTTTTTCTCTCTAATTCTAAACATATGTTGGCTTTTTCCAGTAATAGAAATTTTTGATGAATTAGCACAACATCTTTTCAGATATCTTATTTAAATTAGAAATTAGTTCAATAGATTATATATGTATTTTACTGAAATGTTACGCAAAAATGAAGACAGTATTTATGAAAAATCATCAGAGATCTTAGTACAGCTAATTAAGGACTGCCATGTGTAGATTCAAAAAAAAGATTTGTAAGTTTTACGCTTTTTCCTTATTATGAATTAATATTGTTTATAAATTATTCTATTCTAGACTGAAAATGAACGACCATAGGCAAGGAAAAACATTCGAATATGATAAACCAATCTAACAATATATGTTCAAATATGATTAACATATCCTTCATAATCGTGTACGACTACTTTAAATAATCGTAACTTACTCATGAAAATTAAGATGCTCATCTCAATCAAGATTTTTATTTTTCGAATCCAACGGTCAGTCAAATAAACCATATTTTTTATTTAAGTCTCTCTCCCTTTCTAGGATTTCTCAGAACTCAAAAATCTCAGATGCTTCCTTCAGAGAGATGTAGAAGTTGCAAAGGTCAAGAAATTTTCTCCTCGCAGAACTCTTCATTTCATTTTTTCGAGCTACAATTTTTTTTTGATGATAGTTAGGATCAAATCGAGATGCGTTCTTTTCCCTAAAATATCGTTTCTATAGCTCAGAAGACGCAAAAGAGTAAAGGAACCTTAAAAAAACAACGTGTTTTTTTTTCGATGGTATTGCCGAATCTCGTAAAAACAATATTTTGAAGAAAAAAAGCAAGAACCCTAATTTGAATCCAATCGGACGTATTGTATGAGAAAAAAACCGAAAAAAAATTTCTGCATGTATCAGGACTTTTTTTTTCAACTAAAGTGATCGAAAACTGCTCGTCTGTTAGAGGTCTATGACTTACTCTCTGAGTATCTTTAGAAATTATCCTTAGGAAACGTTTTACATACAAAGAATAATTCCAACACAAGTTTTTTTCTGGTAGGAATTTCGATAGTTCGGTTTAATAAAAGTACTAAATAACAATGAAGAGCACTGATTTATATGATATTGGACAGAGGACACTTCGAAGCTAAATCAAAAAAAGAATTTGGTTTTAAAATCCGGACATGGGAAGGATTTCGCCTTAAACTTCTCTTACCATAGAATCGAATGATGAAATGAATTACATCTGTTATAGTTGATCTGCTGACATGGAGGGTTATAGAGTCAACCGAGAGTGATAACTATAATGCTATATCATTCTTATTGAAGTAGAACTTCGCTGAATATGATAATAATTGACCTAGGTCAAACAAACACGATCGTTTAAGATGTTTTTGTTGTCGTTTGGTAAACGCAGTTGTAAACAATTGAATACTCGATTTCCAGACCTTTATCAGCTGTATACGCTATGATAAAATGTGGTCATAGTACCACGCCTACCAAACATCAATTTACGACTTCAAACGGTATGCAGTATTGTTTTTGACTGTCTCGGCGATTGTAATTATTGTCCTGAGCAGGTCACATACGATTTGACGAAATAAGGTCATTCACCATATTGTATACAACAAATATGATCATTGTCTTGAGATTTATCGAAAGAATACAATAAGCATTTTCAAGTCTCGATTCGATATTAAAATGAATTCATACTGAAACTACAGCATTCTAAAGCTAGAAGAAATTTTATTCTGAGAACGAAGATTTCAATTTCTTTGGTTTTTAACAAAAAGATTAGTGTTCATGAATAAAACCGATCTTATTCTTTTCAACCAAAAATATATTCTGTGTGTTTTTTTTTCGTTTGATAACACTTAAGGAGAATATGTTTTTCTTAAACATAGAAAATAGAACAAAAGTCGAAAAGTTCCGATAATAATTCGAAGCATTTGATTATTTTTTAGGTCTCATATGATAGATAACTAAAGAAGATAATCCTTCAAATTTCTATTGAATCAACTAATCAATAATCAATTTTAATCATTATTAACAATGCTATATCATCTACATGTATTCACATTCAAATAAACAATGGAAAAAGATGTTGTTAAAATAAATACTAAATATTCAAAGGTAAATATGATGAATATTTGTAGTCTGTTTTTATTGTTGTTGTTACATATGACAGAAATAAATAAATTTAATCTTATGTTTTTTGTTTATTGTATCCATTTATTTGTCTTATAAAAACAACAGACTATAATAGTAAGTTTTATATATGTCTGTCTATAATAATATTTTGTTCTTCTGACGTTACCAAAAGAAGAAAACAAATAAATTGATTCTAGACAGTGATTTCGCTATCAATATCGGTATAAAATGGGAAGAATGAGGATGTCTTCAGTGAAGTCAATTAGGATGCGTTATATACAATAGAAATTTATATGTCAAGAAGTTTAAATAAATGAAAGTGAAAGAGTTGGATTGAACTTCCTTTTCCTTTCATTATTGAAATGTGCGACATTTTGATTGGAATTTAAAATGACATTTTTCATTTAGTCTAAATTAATGTTTCGATTCATTATAAATCGTTGCTCAATAATAACAAATGTTGCACTTATTTTCCAAATTATACATTTTCATAAAATTGACAATAGTCGAAATGAGTCAGTAGATTTATCCAATATTCTGATGGCAATTATTTTCTAGCGTAGGGATAAAAATACGAACAAGATTAAAAGAATTGATATCAAGTTTCATTAATACAGTGTTCATCGTGTTTTATCCAGATTTTCGACTCCTGTAGGACAATTTAAAATTCTTAGAGAGCCAAATTCAATCTTCGGAGGAGTACAGCTCCGTCTACCCTCGCGCCTAATAAAATACTAGTGTCTAATCGTAGAAATAGCTTTCGACTTTTTGTCGAAGCATAAAATTATATTAACATTTCTTTTGACAGATCCATTTGAGTGTTTATTGAAGGCTCTCATTAAGATTCTCTAAAAAAAGAAAGTCAATTTTCATTAGAAAAATTGAAATTAATATCATAGTCTGAGGTCTGATCTTTCATAAACAACATGATTGTTCATTTGATATCTCAGCTTTTGGCATCACGCAATCCAGAATTCTTAATGACTCTTCATTCTATACATTTCATCTCTTTTTTATTTGAAAGAGTATGACAATGTTCCTTTTTTGATCTAAGCTTTTTTACGGTTATATTAGAAAACGCACTTTTATAAATAGATGATAACTTTTTGAGAGTTTTTCAAGGTATTGAACTTGTCATATTTTTCATCCGCATAATAAATAAGACAGACATTGCATTTTGACATGCATCTTCAAGCAAAAGACAAAATGAGTATATAGAATGAAGACACACAGCAAACTTTCGATTAGCGAATGAGCTACTTTTAATTCTTGTTTGCTGAGTATTTCGAGAAAACATCATGATATAGAGCTGAAGATTTCATGTAATTTAAATTACTTGACCTAAGATTGATTTTTGAAGAGAAGCCTTAAAGATATCTTCCTCCTCTTTTCTGATCATTTCTATTGTCGGCGCCAGAATTAAATAGGGGTGGGTGTAAGCTCAATAACTCGACAACCGCAATAGCTAGCGAGCTGCGGTTTTCGTCAATCGAAAGAGGAGGAGTTGGGACGCCTTTTTCTCTGATAATGTATAAGACGAAAACCTTTTAAAACTAATCATATTCGAAAAGCATGCAAAAGAACCCATGAAAATGATCTGCCAGCTCGATNGAGAAAAAGGCGTCCCAACTCCTCCTCTTTCGATTGACGAAAACCGCAGGTCGCTAGCTATTGCGGTTGTCGAGTTATTGAGCTTATACCCACCCCTATTTAATTCTGGCGCCGACAATAATTCTCGAACAAGGTACAACTCATTAGGTTGAAAATTTTCTCACATATAGAACACTTGAAATAAGGAGATGCTTGTTTGTAGACAAACATTCTCAAGAGGATTTTCCAGAAAACCATCTTTTTCCATAGAACTACATCTTGTTACTTGATCACTCCCATTAAACTTATTTGATACAGCGAAAAATTTTTTTCGAGATACTTCAGACTTATATTTGAGAACTTTTGAAAACCTGTGTTTTTTAGTGGTTAATACGTAAAGGTGCAAAGCCGAAACCGGAGTATTGACTTTCATAACTCGGCTGCAAAGATCCATGGAAACAAACCTTTCTTGACTTTTCGTATTCTCACCAAGACTCCTTTGGAGATTCAGTATGAACTTAAATGGCGGGTTATCAGTTTGAATGGTTTTCTCATAAGTACAAGGCAAGAATTTCAATATGATTATACTTTAAAAAATCTCTTAAATTCAGTAAGCTGTTTAGAGTCTAATGATGTCTCTAATTGTATATAATATTTGAGATTACCATATCTTATGTCCAGTTTGAAATCAAGCTTTTAGTTAAAAAGAAAGAAACGCGGTATCCATCATTCATATCGAACATTTCATTTATTTTGTTTCAATCTATACCGTATTCCGATTCAATATTTGAATATGAAAATCTTAATTTAGAGCAATCAAGAATTTTTCTATTATGAGAAAGTTCTTTTTTTTTATTGTAAATTTCTATGAGATTTAAAATAAATATTTTCTTTTATAGTCTCTGTCGATGGTTGTTTGCTTGTCATATTCATCTTCCAGGAGGAATTGGACAACGATCTATTTACGATTTATATATATTTATTTGTCGATCATTTATGAACTTCTCTGATTAATTTAGTTTATTTTTGTGCAATGAAAAAAAAAAAAAAAACAGAATAAGACTAAAAAAGAAAACAAATTATTTTACTTCTTTTTCTTTTCTTTCATTCTCATTTCTATGTGTGATAATACAATGTATTGTTGCACTTAGAGGTTTTAATTTTTTCTTATGTAAGTATTTATTGTTCGTGTAACGATAAAGTCAATCAGATAGACAAGTGAACAAACAAAAACATTCGAATATCAATTAATGTTCCTGAAATAATTGAACTATGTTTTTAATGTTATTTAATAATTATAATTTTAGAAAATATTCACAAACACAAAAAAGAGAAAGTTCCATCTGATGATATATTCGGTCAGGTAAAAAAAATATATCAATGATTTAATTATTTATTGATTTAAACGAGGATATTTTTGTGTGTAAATTATGAACATGTATTAATCTGTAAATGTATCTTTTTTTTTTCTGATAAAGTGTACTTGCTTTTTAGAAATGTGATATTTTTGGAGAAAGACTGGCTGTTTTTAGAATGTGTTAAGAGCCTCTTTTTTTTTTATTTAATTTGAATAATGAAAGACAACTTTATTTTCACGATAATGACTCTACCATTTATAGAATGCACAACAAAATATTATCGAAAAAAGAGGCTGAGTCTTTGAGGTTTTAAGACTTATTTGTTTATTGTCTTGAATTGACTTTAGAATGGCCATACTTGCTGACATGTTCAAGACTAGAAAAATGCTCACTTTTGTATTAGATATGTTATACTGCGTGCTTTTTTCATCACATAGGATTATATCTAGTTGAAGTATAAAATGTGATAAATGTTTTAGTTTTGATAGGTATTATGATAACTAATATTGAACAAAAAAAAAAATCGATTTTTCAGTCTAATATAGATTTAACTGTTATCTCATTTTTATCGATTTGTATGAGGTTAATTATATTTTTTCTTCTGAAAAAGATCTCTCAAATAAAGAAATCTGAACAGAATCGTATTGATACATGCTTTAGTTTTCTTTTAGTAGTTAATCAGTTTCAAAGTCGAACTAATCGCAGTCAAAATAACTTTATGGAACCATCCATACAGGATGCCTAAACACTTACTATGTATATTTTCAGTTTTTTTTCATACAATTTTCAGCGAGATTTGAAGCTTACGAGGAAAGTTCTCCAACTGATAGATCGATGTTGAGTTGAGATTATGTACAATCAAATGAGCTATGGATGCTCTGAAAACAGTTCAGGCTCTTAGCTTATTGCTGCTGAGATATTGTAAATTTACGTTGGTGTCTAAATTCATGCCGTAGCTCACTTGCAAGATTTCCTTTATTGTGGGAGAGCCTGGTCACTACTTCTATTAATCTAGGAATGAAAGCACTTTTCGCCTGAGTTTTAGTCTTTTCTATTCCTAAAAAATATGGACAACTCTGTACTAGATGTCTCGTAGGGAAAGACGATCAATGAAATCGAAGGACAGGGTTAAAAAAAATCCTTTATGTTTCTACATCACAGATCACTATTCAGTAGTCTATTAGACGTAAACTAAATTTTGAGATAATATATAAATAATTCAATGTGATTACGTATTCCAAAGATGATCTCACTCTTTTGGTTATGATAAAATTTTATTCGTGGAGTTTTGATCTTGAGAACAGTATAAACTTCAATAAAAATGTCTTCTCGGTTTTTTTTTGTTCGAAAATATTTTATCAGATATAAAAATTTCCTTCGATCTAAAATGTTTTATAAATGAAATATCAATTTGGAAAAAAATTTTCAAGCATTTAATTATCGTTTATCGATGTTGATTTTTTTGTAATTTTAGTTTTAGATCGATAAATGAAATAAACTAATATATAATTATTAATGTTTTATTTCTGTTGAATTCAATCTAGATTATTTCTTTTTCTTTTTTTCGCATTTAGAACAACATTTTTAGATCGAAATAATTAGATTTTATTTGTTTTTGTTTTTGTTCTTCCTTTTGTAATCTTATCTGTCTTTCAAAGGGAGAGATACTTTTGTATTAATCGTTTGGATATTCATCAACATAAGTATTAATATTTTTTCAATTGCTTTTTTTTTAAAGATTTAATCAATCTATTTTAAGTCTTTTCTAAGCAATAATGGCTGTTAAAGATGATTATCAAGATTTTAAAGTTGCATTAAATGATCTAAAAATGAATAGCAAACCATTAATTAATTTTTTAACAATACTTGCAGAAGAAAAAATGCATAATGCACCACAAATTGTACGTGCTGTTGAAGAACGTATAGTTGAAGTTAGTAGAATAAAAAAATAACACAATGTGTTTTTTTCTCTTTCATTTCATATGAATTTATTTACTTTTTTTTTCTTCCATAGACTAAAGGTGATCATGTTTTACCTGCTTTATATGTACTTGATTCAATAGTGAAAAATTTACGTTCATCCTTGTACGTTCAATTATTTGAAGCAAAATTGCCAGTACTTTTTGCTAATGCTTTCAATAAGGTTCGAATAGAAAAAAACAACCTTTTCTTAAAATCTTGAATTTTGTTGTTTTAGGTCGATGAACGTACACGATCTGCTATGTTTAAACTTCGTCAAACATGGTCACCATTTTTCACTAATTTATCATTGTATAATCTCGATACAAGAACACATGATATTGATCCAGCATGGCCTATTACAGCTAGAGTACCTGATCCATCTCCATTTTTACAAAATATTCATCTTAATCCAAATTTTCTTCAAAGAGTATGTATTATTTTTAAAAAATTTCGATTTTGATTTTGATTAGATAAATAGAAGGAAACTAACGAGGAGCAAGTTCTCAAGTTATGAATCAATTTTAAGCTAGAACTATATTCAATTAATAGGATCTAATCAGTAGAGTCCTGCGGAATGATCCTGAATTCCAAAAATTGTCGTTTTCAAAAACGTGTTGTACACTTTAATTCTTTTATTACTAATAAATATCTTAATATTTAAATAAATAACAGAAAAAAGAATTAGACTGTCGCTTGATTAAAGTCCAAGTAGAAAAAGCGGCCGATTGCAAGAACCCAAAAAATATCGGCTCGTAGTCCTATATGACAACTTCTATTCCTAAATATTGAAGTTCCGTAAAGGAAATCATAATGAATTTTTAGGTACGATTAACTATCTTGACGCATGAGGACAACTCTTCAGCTACCCACTCCCTCCCCCTCCCGCCATACGATTTCAATGGCTTTTTTGCTTATAGATACTACATAGGAATCTAATAAAAACCCTAAAAGGATTTGGATTTGATTAAGCTATCAATTTTTTTTCTAGAAGTCACAGGTTTTCGGAAAACTCGTATTTTCGAATTTTGATCTCAAACTTGGTCCCCATAGAGAACTCAGCTAGACTAGCTTTCATGAAAAGATGCAAAAGTTTTGAACAAAGTCTCTTCAAGATATAGACATTTTTTCATGGCTAGAGTATTCAACATACAATTTTAGAAAGTTTCATATATCAAATAGGCTTTATTTAAAACTTCTGATGTTTTTAAAGGAAGCTAGTCTAGTTGAGGGTGTGGGTGTGGATGGGTGTGGGTGTGGGTGTCGGTGTCGGTGTGGGGTGTGGGTGTGGGTGTGGGTGTGGGTGTGTGGTGTGGGTGTCGGTGTGGGGTGTGGTATGTATAAAGGGAAAACCCACATCCACATCCCACACACACCCACACCCTCGACATATATTTTTGGTAATCTTCATTAAACGGTAATTGAGTATGTGCTAACGTAATTCGTTTTTCAGCATGTCATTTGATTGTTTTCTTATCAATTTGTACGTTTCAGAAAATTAAGCGAATATATTCATCTTCATTCAGTTATGTTCGATTAAATTCTATTCAGTCTATTTTCTCAAAATTTCAATTCAAGATCGATTCAATTCGTTTCGATCTCTAACTTTCATCTTGAACATAAATAAGATGGATAAGATGTCTAGAGGAAAACCATATAGCTTAATACAGAGACGAAGTCTTTCCTGCGCGCAGACTAACTTATTATCAAATCAGCCTACATTTTTACCATTAATCAATGTTCTTTTCATGAGATTTTAAACTTTACAAATGACACTAAAATTTTAGGAAAAACCTAAAAAATCGAAATTATTTGACATCTTCATATATCATGAAGAAAGTATTCGTTTATACTTGACATTTTAGGATAATGTAATAAGACATTGATCTGTTTGTAGACTAAATTCCAATTCAATTTCATGTTATTTAGCCATCCTTCAGGTGATTATGATTGGGAATAAAATTTCATATAAAATAGTCAGAGTTTGATAAGAGAAGGTCAGAAACTTAAAACCTTTTGTTATGTTCGTCTTGCTAAGACCTGTATCTAGGCAAGAAATTTCACTTAAAAAACAAAGCTTCATCTGGTCAAATTCTCTCGTGAATGATTCAGGAAATTGAAGACATCACTCTATTTGAAATTCATCACAGCTGAATAGCAAAAAAAGCAAAAGTTATATTTTCATACAACAATTAAGCATTATATTCGAATGCAGTCGAAAGTCTACGATTTGTATGGTGTAGATCATCAAAAGAGCGTGATATCGTTTGTGCATTTTGAAGACCAAGTCGAGCCGATTGCCTTACTGAGTTTACTTTTTTTTCATATTGTTTGTTTCTTTTCTTTTCCATCATATCCCATTCTTTCTTCTTCGTAATCTCTCTTGTAGAAATAAGACGCAACTTTTCATCGACTCGCATTTGTCGAAGTAAAATATACAAAATCAGTGTCCAAAAGCCTTCAGAAGCATTACAGACAACAAAGAACCATCCCAGTACTTCCGCAGTTTTCTCATCTGCAAACGATAGAAACGGTCCAAGGAGCCAACCAATGCTTTGAGTGATACATGATCCAATTAAAATGAGTACACATCGTTTCATTCGATGAAAGCTTCCATGCTGTGAAGTAGAACGCCTGAAGTGATCGATTAGCCGCCTGGTAACGAATATGAGCATAAAAATATTGAGAGCAAGACATACACAAATAGGTATTGTTACAAAATAGTGAATAACACGTCTGGTAAACCAACATATTTTCTTAGCATACAATGCTGTAATTCCCAGAGATGAATCCGAATTGAATCCAGCAGCAAATGCGACGTATGCAATAGAAATAATAAAAGATGTAATAAGCAAAGTATAGAGTTTTCGGAATGATGGTGGAGGAAACAGAACAACAAAATTGATGTAATTAAAGTAAGCGACGCTTGTTTTGATACAAAACATGAGTATTAGTAAAAAATAAACAAAGAACATAAGAACACTAGCATTTAGAAAACAGACTTCCGTATTATTTGTTTTTGATGATATGAACACAATTGAAACGAGTGCAATGTAAAAGATGAACAGAATCATTGTGACTGCATTTGATACGAGTGGTAACAAGTCCTTTCCTCGTAGACTCATATCTGGATTAGTGAGACGAATATAAATTGTATGCATAATTGCGATCAGGAAACAGAATATAGAAACAGATTGAAATACTAACGATGCAATATCTTGAGCAGTAAGTATGCCACTGTCGGACGTTTTTGGCAACCATATAAGAGCAAATGATGTCAAATGATTACAATTACATTCATGTCGATCCCATAAAGCATTGTATATCGGCCTCGAACACCCTGAGTCGTTCCAATTTTTTGTCTGACTATCGTAGAAAGAGCAATAAAAGTCAGCGTTCTCGATCGATTGTCGAACAAAATCTTTTCTAACGCGAAAATAAAGTGAAATATTCACATTCGATAGAGACTGTTTGGTGTTGCTCTCTATATTAGCTACAACAACAGATGATGCCAATGATCTGTTCAGCGTGTCTGTCACATTCTGATACTCATTTGGCGAATCAATTAATAGTACTTGAATAAAGTCAATATCATCGAATGAATTAAAGCTATATATACCACCCACCGAAATATTTAAATTAACATCTCTAACACGAGTCTTGTTCAGAACAATTTTACCACCACTAAGTGATAAAAAGACTGCACCCAATACTATGCTACTATCATTCGTCGAAGGTCTTTGTGACATGATGAATCCATTTTGTAAACTACTATTGACACTTATATTTAGTCGGGAAACAGCATAATCGATTTCATCTGGTGTTAACTGTTCACCTGGTACTGTCTGATTGAAGTATGCTATTAGAGCGTTAGCAATTTCTGTCGCATTGGATTGTTTGTTACGAATTATGGACACTGGAGAAGCCTAAATATAGTCATACGAATTTATAAAACGTAGCTATTTCGATAGTTTTCACAACAATCAAGAATTTACTGGTGTAGAAGTTGTCGTCCTTGTTGTTTCACTATATACCGGTGTGAACGCTTCATGAGGAAATGTATGGCAAATGGTCGTAGTATGATCCGTTTCAGAGGTGAAAATCGACACTGGCGCTGATGATAATAATGTTTGCAAACGAGTAGCATTACTGAACATAATTTCAGAAACATTCGTGAACGTATTAGTATATCTTGTCACATCTAACGAAGATGATGTGATCGAGCTTTCACTTGCAGTTGAAAATTCACCTATAGTAGATGTTTGAACCGTGCTTAATACTGAAGTGAAGGCAAAAGATGATTCTTCAGTTGGTGCTTTTGTTGTATCACCAATGTAAGTAGTCATATGTGTATTTAACGATGACCTTAAAGAAGTTATTTCAGTTGAGCTTTCACTCCTAAGTGTTGGCACACTACTCGTTGATACTCCGCTAGTCGTCTCTGTTGTTGTTGTACTGTTTATTGAAGTGGTAGCCGTCGTTTCTGTTGTTGTGGTGGTGGTGCTAGTTGTTGAAGTGGTTGTAGTTGTTTCTGTTGTTGAAGTGGTTGTCGTTGTTTCTGTTGTTGTTGTGCTTGTCGTCGTTTCTGTTGTTGTACTGGTGATGGTGCTAGTTGTTGAAGTGGTTGTAGTTGTTTCTATTGTTGAAGTGGTTGTAGTTGTTTCTGTTGTTGTTGTGCTTGTCGTTGTTTCTGTTGTTGTTGTACTTGTCGTTGTTTCTGTTGTTGTTGTGCTTGTCGTCGTTTCTGTCGTTGTACTGGTGGTGGTGCTAGTTGTTGAAGTCGTCTCTGTTGTTGTGCTAGTTGTGGTGGTAGTTGTTGAAGTAGTTGTAGTCGTCTCTGTTGTTGTAGTTGTGGTTGACGTGGTTGTCGTGGTTTCTGTTGTTGTGCTCGTTGTGGTGCTAGTTGTTGAAGTTGTCTCTGTTGTTGTCGTAGTTTCTGTTGTTGTGCTGGTTGTGGTGCTTGTTGTTGAAGTCGTCGTACTTGTCTCTGTAGTTGAACTTGTCGTAGTCGTCTCTGTTGTTGAAGTAGTTGTCGTTGTGATTGTTGTGGTTTCTGTTGTTGTGCTGGTGGTGGTGCTCGTTGTTGATGTGATTGCAGTTGTCTCTGCTGTTATTGTTGTGATACTGGTTGTTGTGGTAGTACTTTCTGAAGTTGTTGTAGTGGTTTCTGTTGTTGTGGTTGTTGTTGTGCTTTTAGTCGTTTCTGTTGCTGTTGTACTTGTTGTAGTTTCTGTTGTTGTTGTGCTTGTCGTAGTTTCTGTTGTTGTCGTAGTTGTGGTGCTAGTTGTTGAAGTCGTTATAGTGGTTTCTGTTGTTGTGGTTGTTGTTATACTGGTTGTAGTTATACTGCTTGTGGAGGTGGTTTTAGTCGTCGTGGTCGAAGTGGTAGTGACAGTTGTTGTTGTTTGTCGACTGCTGGCAGATGAATAAGACGTTGGTGACTCTTGTGAGGATTGATAGCCAGTAGACTGTGCCACATTGGTGGGTATTATATAGCATAGTAACGTTGTAGTCGGTGATTCAGAGGTAATGAAGAATGTTGTCGTCTGTGGATTTAAAGTGACTGAAGCGGAATGATAAAAGTGGAAAAAATGCAGATTGATTTGAGAGGTTCATCTCAGAGAACTTTTTTTGATGAGAGTATGTTTATACGATCATGAAGTTAGAAGTTAAGTCTAATGAACTTGGGCAACTGAATAGGGATGAATAAAAGGATTTGTGAATCGCGTGATCTATTTTTGCTTGATAGTCAAGAAAAAACAAAACAGGTACGTTTGAACATAGACAGTGCAGTAATGAAATGGATGGAAGTATTCTCAAGCGGCGATGTTTTTCATATTGTGAGAAAAATGCCTTTTGACAATTGTATCAACCTAGAGGAAGTCTGTTCTGTTATCATTCATTCGTCTCTGAGAATGTACTCAGAGCTCTACGTCTCTGATTGATCAAACCATCTTTGATAATAGTTAGGAAATAGATTTGTATTCGTTTTAGCTTACTTAATTGAATTAATATTGTTTTTATTATGATTTAGAATACACAATTCGATTTGTTAAGGAATACAGAAGAATTATTGCATTTTATGACCTTTAAAAAATTAGTTAGAAAGAAACACTAATGTCTACTTTATTTTTGTTGCAAGTTCGATGCATCTCAAATTTATGCAAATCATAAATAGCTATACTGTTTTGGTGATTTGATTGAGAGAAGACAATGATGACGTTCAGGATGAATAATCTGATTGTGAGATCTAGCATGGAAAAATGTTAGGATTCGGAAGCATCCTAGAAGAATTTATCAAGATCCGATCAATGGATTCCATGTATGCTTATGAGAGTGGATTCAGATACGAAGTGAGTAAAGACGGACGGCTGAGTGAAGGAAATACCTATGTCCATCATTCTCTTCACCTATCCATAACATCAATTACATTCAGCAGATCGTAAATTTTACGATAGCTAAAAACTTAGGCTTCAAATGGGCTAGATGTCCCGGAGTTCAGATTGTTTTTTTTTAGATTTGAACCCATAGCTGTGATTAACGTAAGTCTTTTAATAAAAGATACTAGAAATGTAAAGAAACATTGAAGCGCTTTTTTTGAATTTTTTCTGGAGTGAACAGTAGAAACTTCTGGAATTAATTTAAATAACTATTGTTCCTGTTAACTTGGAATCTTATATTGATTTTAACAGTATTTCAAATTCAGATACCTGCAGTACATAAGAAAATGAGGTGAGTGCTGCTCAATTTTTGCAATTTCTGAATGTAAAACATAATATTATGTTTCAATGTCTTTAGACTTTGAATTACATAAGTGAAAAATTAGTTTCCATTCTAAAAAAAATGACTATCTGACTGATTTCTAATCAAGTTATCTGTGCCATAAGAAACACGCAATTATCAAGATAAGTAAAGTTTGTCGTGGTAAAAATTATCTTATTGACACTTCTACGAACAGGAAAAGACAAATTGTTCAGTCACCATTTGCAGTCTCTCACTTCGAATAAGGAAACGATCGAATCAAAACGTTTTGATACTTAACTTGTTTCCTATCGATTGTTCTAGAAGAAAGATGATCATATTGTTGCTTCTAGTATCTTCTCCTTTTATTCTCTAACATCAAAATCTTCATGTTTTCTATTAAAATGACTTTTCGATTATGTATTGGTAACAGACTCAAGGACAACAACGAATCATATAAACTAGTATTTCTATATTTGCATTATTTTTTGTGTTACCCGTAGCTCTTGAAGGCGACGAAGTTATTGTTTGTGATGTTACTTGATGGATAAAGATTGCATGTACAATCCACAGTGTAAACAGAATATTGTTCAACATGAAACAGCTAGCTTTAAAGTAATCTAAAAATAGATTGACATCTTTTGATTAATCAAACATCAAGTATGCAGATCGATTTTTCCATACGTTTTCATTTAATTATGTCCTTTATCCTTGAATATTGCCCTTCGTTTTAGAGAGAGAATAAGTAGGGAAAAATACGAGCCAATATTTTTAGCGCTCATGCCACAGAAAAAAGTTAATACAAAATAAAGATCTAAATGTGTTCGTTCACAATGATGCGTTTGTGATATTCAATTAACTAGTGCGTGAACAAAAAAAACTGAACAAAGCTACGTTTCAACATCAAATTTTAGAACAAAACGACTGCTTTTGCTTCTAAACGCGTTTTTTTTGTATTAAAAATATGTTGTTTTTCCAGTTCAAATCGTTATCTAAAACTATCGTTTAAAGGTTTTTATGCTAGAACCTGTTTTTTTATATCTAATTCATGCTATTTGCAATATCTTTTGAATAAATTTGTCTTTATGCACTTGAATCGTTTATTTACAATACATCTAGATGCATGTTTTTAAATCTTCTACGAAAAAAAACACCTTTTTCAAGTAAGCGTATTTCTAGTTAGTCGCAATGTTAAAAAAGCTATGCCTTGTCTAAAATCATCATAAATAATAATAAATGATTTTCAAAATGAAAATTAAGAAGCACATTCTTATCATTTGAAATGTAGATTATAACTGATCTAAATAATCATTCTTTGACGTTTAAGCTCCTGATTTTTTTAAAATTTTTTTTCTTGTAGCACACCGTCGCTTCTCTGTTTAAAAAATACAAAGCCATATTAAGCAATCATCAACATTCTTCATCAAACATAATTTTTTGTTTACGAAATGATATCGTTACATCATCTATAACACATGGCTATTTCGAATTCAATAGTTACCGTGTTCCATGTCTCTGAGAGTACAATTAATTTTGTGCGACTTCCCATGTAGCCAATTTTTACAAATAATGTACATTATAATGCATTATTTTGCCATAGAAAGTCAATGAATGCAATGGCATTATAATGCAACCTA